TACCTATTTATTCATCGAGAAATCTAGTGAGACTTCCCTAGCCAGCAAAACTAGTCAGTATAATGTTAATTGAAGTTCTTACCCAAGCTGACCAAGCTATGCTGTCAAGAAATATCTGCAGAAAAAAGTTGAAGCAACCAATTCTTGTATATATACCTTGATACATAAATATACAATAAAATTCACTTTGAGGATAACACAATAGTAAGATATACATACATTTACAAAACCAGCAAATAGTCCTAGAATTAGCAATATCTCCTCGCCAATTAATGGACCCAATGCAGGTAGGAAGAACATCTGTACAGATTTTGCACGATCGTCAACTCTTAAAACTGTATGAAATGTTGTTAAAAACAATAATAATAATAATAATAAAAAAAAAGAAGAATGAAGAAGTGTTGTATGTATGTATATGTACACTGGAGAAAGTAGCCCCAACGTAAGTGATGAGAAGTACATCCGCAAATTGGTCCTTCATGAAATTGAATCGAGCTTTTAAGAAGTACTGCATCAGATAAAGCCAGTGATGTACTTATGTTAGCAAGAGATCTATAAGAAAAGCAAACAGATATTTGAATTTCGTATCGTCCGAATCTTCTGTGAGTTTTTTTTTACGAACAAAAAGCATGTCTACAAGAATTAAATAGGAAGTTGCACCAGGAGAAATGATTGAACTCCAACATCGGCAAGGCTATTGAAGAAAGCAACAAAAGTCAACAGAGAAATCGTGACACTGCAATCAAGCACAAAGAAAGAAGTGGTGCACTCTTAATAACTGAAATACTATACGACAAAAAACAAAAACAAATGAAGATCAAAGATAAATACTGTGTTCAATTTTTTTTTTTTTCAGACCTGCTTGTAAGCAAGCCGATTATATCCTTAGGTGATGGGATTCCTGTGACAAAGTTCAACTTCTTGTTCAACTCCAAATTATTCGCTCGATTTTCATCGGACTCTGCTCTAAGAATCGTTTGCTGTAGTAAATCATCATAAACATCGCCACGTAAGCTGCAACCTATACTTTTAGCATGTGACTCTTTCAGCATGAGACTCACATATATCACAGCCAAAGACGATACTCCAGCTGCAACCTATACTTTTACAGATAAAACTCATCACCTTATTTGATAAATCATTAGATGACCCAAAATAATAATAATAATAATAATATAAATCCAACTAAAAAAGGACCTGAAATATGTGGGGTGTGGATAATATTCGAGCCGCTAAGGTACCGCACAAGTTCGCAGCCGACACAACACCAAACAGAATTCCAAATGCAGATACGCGTTTCTCCTCACGTACATTATCTGCCTACAAGCCATTCCTTATACACAGTTCATTATTTCCCTTCATTTCCATTTTATCTATTCATTCATTTTTTTTCGAATAGTGTTGAAAATAACAAACTATTACCAAATAGGCAAGAGCAAGGCAAATTACGCCGCCCTCCGTGACCATAGCTGTAAGAATCTTGAACGCAAAGTACACATACACGTAGTTTTCGGTCCTCTGCCATGCCAAGATCGCTGCACGAATGCCAACAAAAAAATCAAACAAAATAGAAAATACAAAGTAACTATCCTAAAGTTAGTTGTCTAACCGTTAGGCGGGTAGATCTATTACCTGAGGGGAAAACACTTAGAATTAAGGGGATCAACATCAATTTTTTTCTACCGTAAATATCCGATAAATTCCCAATCACCGGCATCATCACCACCGCCCCCAAACCCGTGACCTGCACATACCGACACAAACTACTACGTATTTTATGTCCTGTTATTACATACAAAAATTATTCAATTAAATTACCTACAGTTGAAATGTCCGACTATGTACAATTTCGTGCAGTGCAAGATACATACCGCTTGCTGGACGCCGGTGAGGTAAATGGCGAGGGAGCATTCCTGTTTGCCGCCGCACACGGCCTCCACGATGACGTCAGTGATGGCCGGATTCACTGCGTAGGACGCCATGTTGGACAGGAAAACCGCCGCGAAAAGGTGGCTCAGCCTTCCCCAATTCTCCATTGTACGGTTTTTTCCGGTCAAGTTACTTGCAACTCATACAAACAACTGAAAAAAAGCTAAAATCTAAAATTGAAATTGGTGGTTGATGTTTTTATGCGAGAATGATATTTATGCAGTCACGTGAGAGCAGAGAGCATGGGCCTACCCGCCAAGTCATTCAAAACTTGTGCGCAATTTTTATAAAAAAAAAATATTTTTCTAAAAATGTTTGTATCGCCTGAAAATATGTTAGATTAGAAAGTGGAAAATGTTTATTTTAGGGTTCTCGTTTGTGAGTTCGTTTCTTGAGGACTCAAGTGTGGCTCGACTCGTTAGATAAATGAACTGAGTTCGAGCTTGTTGAAAACTCGTTTAGTTAACAAATCGCATTATCTGTTGGGCTCGTTATTAAAGCTTGAAAAAAATATATATAATTTTCTATAAATCTACTAACTAAAGCTGGAGTCAAATTTTAGGTGAATTGTGCTCGACTGGGCTCCCTAAAGCTCAAGTCGATTCGTTTATACCCCTAGTTGGAGTATTATATTTGTAGAAGAAAAGTGTTACATTGACATTAACTTTTAGGTAGTTATGAATCTAAAAAAAAAAAAAATGATACGAGAACAAATCAAGAATCTACAAACACTAAATTAAAATTAGCGGGGATGAGATGAGATGTTCTGGGGGTGGGCGGCGGATGGCCGTTTCTCCACGAGGACAGCTTACAGGGCACTAGTGTCACCGGCGGGAAGACACACTGATTGCCTATGGAAAATGATTTGGAGATGGGTGGGCCCACAGCGTGTACGAACGTTCTTGTGGCTCGCGGCCCGAGATAGTCTTTTGACGAATGCATCGCGGTATCGACGATATATGGCATCGGATCCGACTTGTGCGATATGCCTCAAGGAATGCGAGACGACGCTACATGCACTGAGGGATTGTAAGGAGGCGTCTCGTATGTGGAAAAATCTTTTGCCTCGACGCTACTGGGGTGTTTTTTTCACGCTGGACATTCGACGGTGGCTAGTAAAAAACCTTAGTGGTGATTTGAGTCGGGCCCGAGATGATTGGTGTTCGTTGTTTGCTCTTACGGCATGGCTTCTATGGCGATGGAGGAACCTCAAACTCTTTCAAGCTTCCGAAGTCCCTATCGATCATAGAGTGCGCGAGGTGTTTTCTTTGTTGGAGACGACGCGTTGCGTCGCGGTTGGCGGCCGGGCCGTTGGTGCACGAGGTGCTCGTGAAAGGCGATTGGTCTCGTGGTCAGGACCGGAGGATGGAATGCTTAAAGTCAACACTGATGGAAGTTTTGATCCGGCGACAGGTATGGCTAGTGCGGGTGGAGTGATTCGAGACTCTGGGGAGAATTGGGTTGATGGGTTTGTGATGAACATTGGATTCTGCTCGATTATTGGAGCTGAATTGTGGGGATTGTTCCAAGGCCTTCTCCTCGCATGGGACATTGGAGCTCGTCGTCTTATTGCTGAGGTTGATAATAAAAGTGTCATCGAGATGATATCTTCCGAGCGGTGCAGTGGGCCGCATGGTGGCTTAGTGAAGGGAATACTTGATCTTCTTCGCCGTCAATGGGACGTACGCATAGCTCATGGCTTTCGGGAAGCCAATTGCGTGGCCGATTATCTCGCATCTTTAGCAGCGAAGTGCCCAGGGGGTTTGCAACGGTTGGAGAGCCCTCCGCCGGGAGTGCACATGTGGTTACATCACGATAGGATGGGCGTTGCTCTTCCTAGGAATATTTTGATCTAGGCATTCTAGGCTTTGCCTCCATTTCTTGTGCCAAAAAAAATATTAGCGGGGATTATGCATATAACATTTTAAATCTTACACACGAGTCGTTACATAAGTGGTGCAATAATAAGTCATAAGATGACCCCACATGACAAGTCATTGAACACCATACCCCATCTATATTTATATACACTAGTGCGGTACCCGTGCGATGCACGGAGAAGTAATATTGGGGGAAACATTTTAATTTGGACGATGAGATCATTGTTCAAAACATAAAACACATTTAATAGAATAAAACAAAATATTATTTATATATTACTAAACAACTCGTAGTACACAATATTTTTCATTTGAATTTGGTACATAGACATGTCCATAAATTGAAAACACCATTTAATAAATTAGGAGAAAAATGAACGATATGATAAAATTAATAAGGTATGTGCAATTCATTTTTAAAATCTATGAAATATGGTCTCTATTTGTAGAAAATAAAAAATTATGTATTTATGTATATTTTTATAAAATAAGTTAACACCAAAAAAAATATAAATTATTTTTTATCTTATCTAAAAATTATACTTTTCAAAATTAATATATTGTCGCGAGACAATGTCATATTGTGACCACTCATTTTCTGTGATTTTTTTTTTTTTTTTTTTT